GAATGGAAGCTGGTTGAAAAGTTCAATTAATGGCTGTTCCAGCTATAGACCCCCATCACAGTCATTCTTTTATTCGTCATCTTGGGGAAGCATTTTGCAGAAAGGATCAGTACTTGTTGACATTCCGCTTGTTGATCAGATCTTTTATGGGGATAGAATAAATAGGTACAAGGAGGCTTTGAGAACTTTGAGAGTAATGTTTGAATATGGGGAGGCCTGTCAGTTTATTGGGAAGCATTTCATGTATTTGGCAGCTTCATCCACTTTAAGCAAAGACAATGTACTCTCCATACTTAATTTCATCAGATTTCTGAGAGAAAAACTCCTTTCTCCCAAAGAATTCATATCCAGTATCAAAACAGGAAGATGGCTGAGGACATGTGGTGGTGACAGATCTCCAGATGGCGCTGTCCTATTTGATCAGCAGTGGAAAACTGCATCACTAATCAGTGATATCCCTTTTATTGATGATGACTACTATGGTCAGGAAATTTTTAGTTTCAAAACAGAACTCCAGTTGCTTGGTGTTGTAGTTGGCTTCAATGAGAATTGTCAACTTGTGGTTGATTACTTGAAACCGAGTTCCTGCTTAACTTATTTAAATGCTGAGGCATTTCTCTTGATTTTAAGATGCATGCGGCATTTAAGATCCAGTGATAAGCTTATTGCAGCACTCAACAATGTTAAGTGTTTGAAGACAAAGCAGGGTTACAGATATCCATATGAATGCTTTCTGTCTGATCCTGAATGGGGTGGCCTCCTACAGATTTTCAATTCTTTCTCGATAATCGATCATGATTACTATGGAAGTAGCATCTTCTCCTACAAAGATGAGTTAAAGAAACTGGGTGCCATGGTGGATTTTAAGGCTGCAAAGAAAGCTTTTGCTTTGATTTTTAGGCAGAAGGCATCTTCATATTCTATTGGGAAAGAACATACAATGACATTTCTTTCTTTTTACAGAAAGCTGAACGGAACTCATACATTTCAGCCAGAGTTGAGGAATTGCATCCGTGAGGTACGTTGGTTACGGACCCGTCTTGGTGATTTTAGATCTCCAAAAGATTGTGTGTTATTTGGTCCAGAATGGAAATCTATCTATCCAATTACTGTCATTCCTTTCATTGATAGCAGTGACAAATATTATGGGAAGGACATTTATGGCTATAAAGATGAGCTTAAGAGCATGGGAGTTGTTGCTGAATTTAAAAGTGGTGTGCAGTTTGTGGCCGATGGTCTCTGTTTTCCTCAGGATCCTTGCCGCATAACTCCTGCAAATGCTCTTTCTTTGCTTAAATGTGTGGGTATTTTATTAGAAAAGGGGAATGGCCCCTTACCAGAGGGGTTTCTGAAAAAAGTTTCCACAAAATGGTTAAAGACCAAATCCGACTATTTGAGTCCTGATGAGTGCTTATTGTTTGACAACAGTACTGGCTTAGAGCAGGCAGATGGGCCTTTCATTGATGAAGAGTTTTACAGTCCTGATATCAGATCCTACAGAAAAGAGCTCAATGCTATAGGAGTCATTGTTGATGTAGAAAAGGGATGCAAATTGATTGGAAGCCACCTCTCTTCCCATTATGAGTTTTCAACCATCACTCGAATATACAACTTTTTGAACATGAAGGGATGGAAACCTGACAGTGAGGCAACAAGAAAAATCTGGATCCCTGATGGAAGCAGTGACGGCAATTGGGTTGACCCAGATGATTGTGTTCTACATGACAAAGATGATCTCTTTGGTTCCCAGTTGTATGTTCTGGATAAATATTATGAGAATGAAGTACCTCTGCGATTTTTCTCCACTGTGTTTGAGGTTAGATCCAATCCATCACTTGATGATTATTGCACAATTTGGAACAATTGGGAAACTTCAGGAGCAAAGTTGTCAAATGATGAGTGTTGTGCATTCTGGGGGTATGTTAAGAGGCACCAGAGTTCGAAAACAGAAAAAATGCTTGCCAAAAGGTTGGTGAAGTTGCCTGTGGATTCTGGTTCAGATGGAGTATTGTTGTTTAACAAGCATGATGTTTTTATTGGTGATGACCTTCAGCTCAAGGATCATTTTGTCTTGCACTCTCCTCATCCACTCTTTGTTTGGTATCCTCAGCCAAGCTTACCTTCTTTGCCACGGACCAAGTTGACTGAATTATACAGGAATATAGGGGTTCGCACGTTGTCTGGATCTGTGCAGAAGGAGGAATCATCATCGACATATGGCTTGGAACTTAAGCAGGTTAATCCAAGTGATGTTTTGATTGTCAGAGGGCTGATTAGACTTCTTCTTGGCTTTCTAGCAGGTCCTTTAACAATGGAAGCAGGAGAAAGGCATAAAGCAGTTCAGGGCCTCCTCAATGTCACTGTATTTGAGACTTCTGAACCTGCTACTTTGAGTTATAGTCTATCTCTGTCCTCTGGGAAAATCTTAAATGTGAGAGTACGCCAAATGATACGTTGGGACAGAGAGAGCTCAAAGCTTTACACAGTGAAGATTGATGGGACAGCCAATCAAAAGATTCTACTTGAATATGCTTCATCGTTCTCTGAAGAAATAGCCAAGGGAGTACTTTGGGAGAAAGAAGATCACATAAATTCACTTTCTGAGCTGATCAAGTTGGCATTTCTTCTCAAATTTGATGAAGAAGCCGTTGGTTTCTTGTTGAAGTCAAAGAATTTGCAAGTTTTTGTGGAGGACGAGGAGTTCCTGTCAGCAGCCTTCCCTTGTGAGTAGGCATGGTATGAGCACAGCTAATATTTAACTTTTTTGCATTTTGCCATTTTAATCTTCCTGCTCCCTTTTTTTTAATATTGTATGTATTTTTTTTCTTCAGGCATATATATATGAAGTATGGCTTGGTGAAGAATATGGTAGTTTGTAATATCAGGCTTGTTTGTAAGAACCAAGCCAGTGACTCAGTTGGCTCAGTCTGATTGTCAACAAATATATCATATATCTATGTGTGCTGTTACCTCATACCTGAGTGGTCTTTTGAGCTGAGTTAGTGGTCTTATATCTTATATCAATGTGTGCAGTACTGTCCATGAATATTGTGATGCAATTATTGAATATGAACATTAAACTTGTGGTTTCTTTCTGCATCAGTACCTGAAATGATAAAGCTGTTTATTAAGTAGTAGTAAGTATTCAAGAGAATTGATCTCACTTTTTACATTTACGTTCAAGAATAGAGATTGATTCTACGCTAGCTTCATGAGTTAAGCTCCATGGTTGGATCTCTCTCTTATATTATGTATGTTATCCTTTCCTGCCTCATTTTGGTTCATAGATGAAGCCACTTTGTTCATGTAGAAAATACAGAGAAAGGCTTTGCCTTTGGAATCAGATAGAAAAGTGTTTAGCTCGACTACAGATAAGATTGTATATACAGGAATAAAATTATTTTTTGCAAATGCAAACTTACTATCGCTGTTGAAGAATATAGAACGAGAAAAATATATTAACATCTCAACCTCAAATATTAAAAATTTCCCACGTCTAAATTTACTGTTTTAAGATTAAGGTGAGAGGAAAAAATGTGCGGCAAGACTATTTAACCAATTCAAATCAAGCTATATTTAAACAAAATTCCTAACTTTCGAAGCAGAAACACTGAACAAGTTTGGATGTTCCCAATGGTAGTTAAGAGGTTGATTTTCCACACACACAAACATGTTAGACATTAAAATTAACATGTTTTAAATATTGTGTTAAATTATATTAAGATTAAGTGTTGCTTGGTTAATCATGTGAAGAGTGATGAGATGCATTTTATATGTTTAAATTTTTTTATTTTAGATTAGATATTTTTTTTGAACAACTATTTTGGGACCGGTTTGAACCATTGCTCGAGAGAAAGGAGGAAAAGTAAATTTTTACAAGAGTGACGGATGCCATTTGACCTTATGGGTCATATTCATTTTAGATTTGATTTTATTTATATTTGAATGGGTAGAATGTATTTTTTTTTATAAATTTTACATAATTGTTATTTTTTGTGTAAAAATACTTGAATGCATATGAGTATAAGTTTTGAGACTTAATTAAAAATATTTGAAAGTTTTTTTTTTTTTTTCGGAAAATAAGTAATGGAATTCTGAAAGTTCAGCGATTATACTCTAAGAAGGAAAGCTACAATTATGGTCCTAAATAAATGTATAAATACGGAGGATAAGGAAAAAAAACTTACTTAAAGCTGTTCGAAAGGCAAAGGTTTTAAAAAGGAAAATAAAGCGGTACACGATGAGTAGATTACTCATCTTCAAAGACTTTTACCCAAAAAGAAAAAGAAAAGAAAAGAATAGAGAACAGACAGAGACAAAGGTTGTAGAATATTTGCAAGCGTCAAAATTCCGTACAAATTACTTTCCATCTCCCAATCGGAAGCCTTTATCTTTTTCTTCTTCTTTACAGTACTATGTTTTTCTTAAACTTTTCATCTCCTTCCTCACCAAGTTTCCTCCTAATGTACTCTTGCCTTCTCACTTTACTTAATTGAGTGGAATTCCAGATTTTATTTTTTTATTTTTTGGGTGGAATCCGAGTTTGGTTAGTATGAGTACTATTTATCAGTTAGGTTTATAAGATAGTGTAATTAATAGACCTAATCATATGCTTTTCCATTTTACTGTTATATTTGGACTTTTGGAGTGCTTATTAGTCAAAAAGATGTGTTATTGATAATGGGTTTACCTAACTATTAGCCTTTTTAATTCAAAATTTTAATTGAACCTGGCCTTTGAGTACTATTTATCACCTACTCAGATAAGATTTTAGGGTTCTTAATTTTTTTTTTCATTTTTCAAAAATTGTAGTCTATTGAAAAAAAAAAATCAAAATTTTAATTTCTTCTTACATGCAAATATTTGGGGAGAAGGGGCATTTTTTTTTCGACCATTGGTTCTCAAACTTATATCCTTAAACTCTTATATCTTATTTGATTTGAATTTAAGAGAAGAGATAAGAAGAGATGAAAAGGAAAAATTATTATAATTAATTAAATTAATTAATTACTTAAATAATTTAATTTAATTGATTAAAATAATATCATTTTCCTTCTCTCCC